AACCCCCCCCCCCCCCCCTGAAGAATTGCATGAGGACGGCCCTGAGTATATTTTACGTGCACGTTAATTCATGCATGTATATCTTCCTTATTTCACAGAGGCACCCCGTGTGAGAAATGACGAAAAGGTCACAGTCCCGGTTGACAAGGCTTTACAAGGAGATGGAGAAAGCTGGGAACATGAAGTTTGAGATGCATAGGATTGGAGTTTGGAAAAATCTTGAAAAATAGATGCAACACAGAGAATAAATCTAATTTCTTTAATAATGTCTTATCTTAATATAGTCAGCAAATAAGTATAGGTAATCATGCGATGGCGAGTACCAATTAGGGATTAATAGTACGAGTGACGTTTGGAAATTTTTTCGAAATTGGACGAGCCGCCGTACTTGTTTATTACTAGCATGACAAAATTGGATAATTCTCAATGTCAACATCATATTCTCTCGCCAAAGCCCAGTCCTGCCAGACTTTATTTAGTTCTTTTACTTTAAGTTCCTCTAGGGCAATTCATAAATGTGGTGTTTAAATACCTTTCCGCCATTCTGTTTGTTTTGGGAAAATTGTACTCCAGTTCAATTAATGAAATAATTGTATACTCCTCTCAACCAATCAGCATCTAGTAATTTTGTCATGCTAATAATAATAAATGCAATCATTTAATGTCAATAATGTAATACGAAATTTTATAATTAATTTAAGTTTGTCGCTTTGGCGTCAACTGCGCAAGCATGCATAAATATAGCCACGTATAGAGGAAAATGTGTTGCTTTCAAGAATGAATAAAATTATATTCAACTAAGATTTTGTAGATGGAAATTTCGAGTGTAAATTTTAAACATTTAAATTATTTCAAGCCTGCCACTCGTAGGACTTGTAGAGGTATCCCCCTATACTATTGCGTTTTGTAGGGGATATGGGATACAAAACAGCTAATTTCTAGTGGAGCGTAGGGGAGCAATATTTATCATTTATAGACCCGGAGCGAGGGGGATTCGGTGTAATATTTCCCGAAGTGATGATATTTCCCGAGGGGCTTTGCCCCGAGGAAAATATCATCACTGAGGGAAATATCGCCGAATCCACCGAGCGGAGGGTCTATAAATGATATATTATACCGAAAGTTAAAGAACTCGATCACTAAGAGTCTATCAAGTTCAGAATAAACTTTAAAACTTGCTGAATATTAATAACTACGCGAATACAATTTTTAATTTCTTATCTATACCTGAGTTTTTGACGTTTTCTCCTTAAAATATTTGAGCAAGTATCCTTTGGATCGTTGAAAGTAACATACGTGTTGAAATATTTGGTTTACTTAATATTACTAAAACTGTCTTCTGTAGTTCTGTACTTCTGTACGAGCTCGCGAACGCCATATGGTTTCAGAATTCAGAGCGTGGTGTCCACGCGTCGCTCGTGGAATACTATAATATCCCACGGTGGATCTGCCGTGGGATATTATAGTATCCCACGCTGGATTGCGAAATCATGAATTTGAGTGAAATACCGTAAAAAATCACATATATATATATATATATATATATATATATATATATATATATATATATATATATATATATATATATATAGATATATAGATATATAGATATATATAGATTGCAATCCTTAAACTCTAAAACCTTAAACCTTAAACTCTAAGCGAAAATGTTCTCGAGCGTGTATTTCATAATTTCCATACCCAGCGCAAGCAGAAAGATATTGTCTGCCGCGACTGGGTCTTGAACCCGCGACCTTCGAATTACTAGATCGACGCTCTACCAACTGAGCTACACGGTCAGACGGATTTAAGAGGCAGTCCGTGTAAAAACCGACCACTCGAATTTCTTAAGATTACAGATTTCCTTCTAACTTTCTGTGTGGAAAAAGTCATTCATAAAATGAACAAAAAACGTTGACTTTGAAATTGTAGTCAGTTTTAAAAAATCTTTCGCAATTATTTTCGGACGCGTTCGAAAACAAGTTAAAACGTTAATTACGCAAATGATATTTGAGCTTTATTATATCTCACAGTTCATCTCGCGCTTTTATTCTAACTTCTTGAAACTTACATATTTTATTATTTTCTGCCTAGGCATAGA